AAACGGCCAATATCAGTCAAGAACTTTCCCAGGGCCAGCGCCCGGTGGCCTGAGCCTTTGACACCTGAAACGTCCCTTTCCCTCAAAAAAGTTACTTGGATTATAAAAGTGCTTCTGCTGCATCGATCTGGGGTCCGTGTAGCAAAAGACCACAAACAGGTGGCTTTCTAAGGGCAGAAAAAGGGTGGCTTGCTAAGGGCTGCCCCCTGAGCTGCACGTTTCTCTTGTAGACTCAACACATACGTGAATACAAGACCAGGTCAGGTCTGCAGAGCAAACCAAAACACAAACTCGCTGCCATCCCGTGGGCGCTGACTCAGAGTGACCCCTATAGGCTGGATATCACTGCCTCTGGGTTTCAAAGACTGGAGCTCGTTTGGGGAGCAGAAAGCCTCATCTTGCTCCTGCTGAGCGGCTGGTGGATTTGAACTGCTGACCTCGCGGTGAGCAGCCCAAAGCAGCTTAACCACTACGCCTGCTGGAGGAGTTTTTGTTTGTTTGTTTGTTTATTTTTTTATTTAATCATTTTATGGGGAGGCTCTCACAACACTTATAACAATCCATCACTCGAGTGTAGTAAGCACACTTGTAAGTATGTTGCTATCAACATTTTCAAAACAATGTCTTTCTATTTGAGTGCTTGGTACCCGGCTCCTCTTTTTTCCCCTCCCTCCCTCGTGAATCCTTAATCAAGTATATATTATTATTGCTATTTTGTATCTTACACTATCTGTTGTCTCCCTTCACCCACATTTCTGTTATTCGTCCCCTTTCGGGGGCACTATATATCCAACCTTGTGAGAGGTTCCCCCTCCCCCCACATCCCCCTACCCCTAGGAAATCTCTACTCCCACTTCTGGTCCTGAGGGTTTTATCTGTCCTGAATTCCATGTGTCCAAAACTCTTATCTGTACCAATGTGTGTACTCTGGTCTAGCCGGATTTGTAAGGTAGAACTGGGTCATGGTAGTGGGAAGTGGTGGGGCCGGGGTGGGGGCTGGGACGGGGACCATGCAGGAACTAGAGGAATGATGTGTTTCATCGGTGTTATACTGCACCCTGCACCCTGGTTGAATCATCCCTTCCTTGTAACCCTTCAGTGGGGGCATGTCCAATTATCTAAGATAGGCTTCCGGTCTCCACTCCAATCCCTCCACATTCGCATCGATATAGTTGTTTGTTTGGGATCTTTTGATACCTGATACCTGATCCTGCCGACACCTCATAATCACACAGGCTGGTGTGCTTCCTCCATGTGGGCTTATTTGCTTCCCTGCTAGATGGCTGCTTGTTTAACTTCAAGCTTTTAAAACTGGGGGATATTTTAAAGCAGCGGTTCCCAACCTGTGAGTCGTGAACCCTTTGGGGGTTGAACTACCCTTTCACAGGGGTAGCTCGATTCATCACAGTAGAAAATGACAGTGATGAAGTAGCAATGAAAATAGTTTTATGGTTGGGGGGGGGGGTCACCACAACACGAGGAACTGTATGAAAGGGTCGATGGTATTGGGTTTTGAGCTGGACGAGGGAAGGAGCTCTGGTGGTGCCACGGGTTAAGCACTGGGCTATTAACTGCGAGGTCGGTGGTTCAGACCCCCAGCCGCTCTGTGAGAGGAAGATGACGTTGTCCTCTCCTATAAACAGTTTTCCTCTCAGGGGCCTCCGGGGATAGCTCTGCCCTGTCCTGTAGGGTCACTCTTGAGTGGGAATTGAGGCAGAGTAGCCAAAGGAACTCCATTTTTGTCAGCTGCTAGGTGACTTGCCCATTCCTCCCTCCCGTCTCTAGAAAGCTGACTGCTAGTTGACCTGCCCGTCATGGGAAAGTCTCTGTTGGTGATTAATTTTCAAATGTACTCCCATGTTCCCAGGTTCAGGACCCTACAATGAGTTTAGACTATTCTTCAATCTATCGTTCTGATAATTTTTCAATACTATTCCCTTTGATGTTGCAATCTGAAGGGTGTAGTTCATCTTGTCATGATAACCAGGATGCTATCATCCAATGTAATATACTGTGGTTTCTTTTATGATAATCTTGTAACCAGGATGCTATCACCAATTTGGGTATAGTTTCTTTTATGAGAAGGGATGTATCTTGTAACACATGCTTACTCTTCTTGAAGTTACAACGAATCCATTAATTTTGCCTTCTGCTTCTGTCCACGCTTGCTGGAACCCTAGACAGGTGATAAATGATTTTTGGCCTTAAAGATGGACCAAGAAGTCCAGTGAGGCTGAGTCTTTAGAGGGAGGCTGGGGTGGGGGGGGGGTTCCACCCTCAAAAAGGTCTTACCAGTCCATCCCCGGGTACCACCTGTCCCTCCGCAGCACTCGGTATGTATTTGCTGGGTTCCATGATGCATTCTGGGAACTCCCTGTGATGGGGCTTACTGGGGGCATGGCGTGTTACGATAGGGAAGCGGAAATGACTGGATACCGCTCCTGGGCCAGGCAGGCCTCTCTCTGCCCCATGGTCCTGCGCAGGCCACGTGTTACAGAGCCCTTTCTGCTCGACCAGTGGGGGCTCGAAGACACCCTGCTGCACCAGCAAGCCTCCTGCCCTAATGAATGTGCTGCTTTCTGCTGGTGCTGTTTCTCCGGGCCCCTGGCTCACAGCCCTGTCTCCTGGATGGGGGCCAGGAGGCTCCTCGCAGGGACCCCAGGCGTGATGGAAGCGCTCTACTTCCTTTTTGATGGTAGTCAGATCCGCTCCCCTCCCCCGGCTGACTTTTCTGGGACTAGTTCACCAGGCCTTTCTTCTGGGGTGCTGCTGGGTAGACGAGCTTGTGTTAGGCCGGGTCGACGAGAGAAACAAATCCAGAGACACCCACACATGTTATGAAGAGCTTCACATTGCTGCAGGTTCGAGTAAATGAAGATCAGTACAATGTCCCATTTAAATTATGTGAAATCTTTATTTTTCCCATCAAGCTAGCCCGGACTGCAGGGGGGATGTTCAAAGGACCTATCTGCCACACTGCAGTGCCTGTCTTCCCTGGCCAAGCCTCTTTTATACTATTCGGAGAGGGTGGAATACAGAAAGCAGAAGAAAAAGCAAGTTGAAATTTATCTATCATTAAGTAAGTGATACATATATGTAAAGTTCAGTTTCAGAGCCTTGTTTTACAATCCTGAGAAAGACTTACAGGGCTTCTCTTGAAAAGGAGAGGGAGTTTAAACAAGAAGTGCCTAAGGGCACTTACAGACCTGTATTGCATTGTGATGTTAAAAAGATTATATGGGGGGGGGGCGGGCAGAGGCTGGTCAGCGATGGGGGAGGATACCTTCAGGATAGAAGTGCTTTTGTGACAGTTCTTTTACATGTGGTGACATGAGCTTGTCACACTTTCAATATGAAGGTGTGACTGTGCATCCATACGCCATCCCAGCCCAGTCCAGAACAATCAACCCCAAGCTACTAGCCCCTAAGTCCTATGCTGGTCCAGAAATCCCACTTTGGACTCACGCAGCCACATGCAATGATGCAGAACGCCAGAACACCACGGGCTGGTGGGTGCAATGTCTGTGGATCCAATGGCGTTGGCTCTGGCCGCTCTCTGAGTGACCCCATTGCAGGAAGGTGAATAGAGGGGGTGGGGGTGGGTGCGGCCTCCGGAGAGCTTCCAAAGGAGGTCATCAGGCTGTGACCTGCTGGACAGGCTAAACTCCACCCATACACTTTATGTTAACTACCATAAACTGTTAACCTCTCGGTTAGGCACCACTCAGGCATTCCATATCAGTAATCAACCAAGACCAGGACCCAAACCAACCGGCTGCCACTGAGTTGATTCCAACTAAGGGCAACCTGAAGAGCAGGGTAGACCTGCCCCTGTGGGTTTCTGAGACCGTAAATTATTAAGGGAGTAAATAAGCCTCGCCTTTCTCCCCTGGGGTGGCTGGTGGGTTTGAACTGCTGCTCTTTGGGTTAGTAGCCTGATGTTTACTCCTCAGAGCCACCAGGGCTGTGTTAGTGAGGTCAATTATCTGATCTGCTTCTTCTAGCCACAATCTTTGTGAATTCCATCAGATGAATTCCTCATGGGTACAGCCAGAAGGTGGGGGAATTTTATGATAGGATTATATGACTCCGTTGTGATGGCTGAACCCCAAACTCGCTGCCACTGAGTTATTCCTACTCACAGCGTGACTCTACAGGGCAGGGCAGAACTGCCCCTGTGGGTTTCCGAGGCTGTAACTCTTTGCGGGAGAAGGAAGCCTCCTCCATTGTCCTCCCTGCGGAGCGGCTGGTGGGTTCGAACTGCTGACCTTGTGGTTAGCTGCTCCGTGTGTAGCCCACTGTGCGCTGCAGGGATATTTAAAAGGCAGGGATATTTAAAGCGGCTTTCTCCATCCACAGCTGTCAATGCCGACTCAGAGGGTAGAACTTGCTCCATAGGCATCCCAAGGCAGCCGATCTCCCGCAAAGCGTGCCTGCTGGCTTCGAACCCCATCCCAGCGGTTAGAAGCCCAGCGCCGAGTCCACTGCGCCACCAGGCGCCCTCAGTCGGCCACGGTAAACGAGAGGGAAGTGGGAGCACGGAGACCCAGGGCAGGATCTCAGAGGGTCCCCAGGGCCATGCCCCCCACCTCTGATCTGACAGACACCCGCCTACAGGCCGCCATAGGCCAGACCTCCCCATCCCTCCCCAACCCCAGCCACATTCCCGCCCCTTCTTGCTTGAGCACGTCTTTCCTCGGCCGGGTGCGCCCGCCCGAGCTTCTTTTCTTCTCCCATGCCTCTAAACTAGCCTTTCCCTCCCCTGGGCTCTACTCCTCGTCTGATTTACCGGGAACGATCATGGCTACCGCGACAACGCCTAACGCGGAAGGCCGCTTGTCCCGTCGGGGCCACCGTCCCCACCCTTCCTTCCTGTTTGCCGGGAAACGCCCAGCGCAGGGTTTACGTAGGCGGGAGGCGGGCTTAATTCACGTCTGCGGCGCTTTATTGGCTGCGCGGGAGACGAGGAAGACGGGGCGAGGCCACTCCGTGACGTCAGAACGCTGCAGTCGGGACGACGAAACCCAAGGAAGCTAGAGCTAGCCGGCTCCCTGGGCCGTCGGTCCTCAGCGCGGACGTCGTCTCGGGCCACTGCTGGCGAGCTCCGATAACGAACGGCTGCGGCAGGTACGGGGAAGGGCGTGCGGGCGGCAGGGGTGGCCACGCCCTCGGGTTTTACTGTCCGCGGGCGCCGAGGCCTGCTCGGGTATCGTACCAACGGACGCCGCGCGCGAGCGACGCCGAGGTGTGGCGGCCCGCACGCATGCGCGTCGGGACGGGGGGGGAGGGGGCGGCGCTTCCCGGTGCGCATGCGCGGCGGCCCCGCGCCTCACCTTCGGGTCTATTGGAACTCCCCGCGCCCGGAACGGTCTCCGCCCTCCATTGACCCGGCCGTTCCACCGGGAGAGGGGCGCCGCCCCGGGAGACCGCCGGCCCGTACGCGGACCTGCTCCTCGGAGACGTGGTGCGCATGCGCAGCGGGCCGGGGCGGTGGCGACGGGGATTCGGGGCTCCTCCGGGCTTCGTCCTTCGCCTTCCCCGGGCCGGCGGGGTGGCCAGGTGCACCTCGATGGTCCGGGAGCTTCGCTCCCCCACCTCCCCGATCGCCCTCCGCGCCTGCCTCGCGCCCTAGGTGTTCCCCGGGCTCTGCTTCCGCCTTCGGACCTTTGCTTCTCCGGGGGCTCTCCCTGGCCCAGACTCCCGCCCTCTCCACGTTTTGTAGTTTTGGGGCTCTCAGAGGCACCCCGGGGCTGAAATGTTGCGGTTGGAAGGCATCCCCAAGCCGCTCGCGGGAGAAAGATGAGGCTGTCCGTTTCCCTGGAGGCTCATGGCTAGGGAAACCCCGTGGCGGCAGCTCTTCCCTGTCCTGCAGGGCCGCTGTGAGTCGGAATGGGCTCGATGGCCACGTGTAATCCCTTGACCCAGGAGGCCTGCTGGTGCAGCGGCTAAAGCGCCCAGCTGCCCCATTTCCCTGGTCTCCGAAGGAGAATGACGGGGGCCGTAAAGCCCCACGGGGGCGGGTCTACTCTGCTTTGTAGGGCCGCCAGGAGTCAGCTTCAGTGCCTTGCTTAGGCGTTGGTTTTAGACCTAAGTCCAGCAGCCCGGGTGTGGAGAGGTCCGAGGTCCAAGCCCAACGCCGAAGATGAGGTGGTCTGCTTTGGGGAAGATTGACAGCCCCGGAAACCCCCGGGAGCAGTTCCGCTCTGTGCTGCAGGGTTGCACTTGGTCACGATGCCCTCTGTGCAGTGGATTTCTTTTGTTTCTGTTTTTGCGGGGAGAGGAGGTAGATTTGGGGGAGTGTGTGTTGGACTTCTCAAGGGGACTCTCTTTTGATCTCCGCCCCCCACTTCTATTTGTCCTCTCAGGCACCTTCGGTCCCTCAGCCCTTGGCCCCCAAACACCCCTTTACTTTCCGCTATCCCTGCCCATCCTAGCTAAGCATCTAAAGGTGCGCGTGCGCGCTCGTTTTTTGTTGTGTCAGTTGCCATGGAGCCTGCCTCCGTGTGCTCCACAGAAGTGTTCCCGCAGATTTTGAAGCTTTTGGCTTTGCGGAAGTAGGTTTTTGGGCCCTGGTGGCAGTGAGCCACGCAGTTGGCCTCTGCCTTGTAGGGTCACTTTCTATAAGTTGGAATCCACACGACCGGCGGTGGTGTGGGCTTGGTGGTTGGGTTCACACTGCCAACCTTTAGGCTGTTAAAAACATCAACAGAAAACAAACCCTAATGCTCGGATCCACGCCATCCAGCCTGCACAGGGTTTCCAAGGCTGTAGACCTGCAGGAGCTGATAGCCACACACTTAACTCTGAATGTGGCCCCTGAGCCACCCTTACCCAAAAAGCCCAACCCCTGCCACTGGGCACATGCCGACTCATCAGCCACACAGGGGTTCTGTGGCACCCGCTTTACCGAAGCTGACTGCTGGTGGCTTTGAACCACTGACCTTTCATTTAGCAGTTCAGTGCTTTAACTTCAGGCATCCCCAGACCCCCTAAATCCCCATCTAGTAGGACTTTTGTCTGTCTTGAGTTCATAACTGCTCAAGAAAGAAGACGCCTGTTCATGCGTGTACACCCTTTAGTAAGTGCACACACACACAGTCCCTCCATTTTTTAGGGAACCTTTTTGAAATCTGTCTGCCTCTAAGAGCTTTCTAAGTTCATTACTTCACCTGTGGGTTCTCTTCATGCACCTAAAGTCACCCTTCCTTGGGAGTAATTTCCAGAAAACTGCTTTTCCTCCCAAATCTGTCCCCGTCCCGTGTCCCCTTGGCCCTCCGGCCAATCTGGCCTCTCAGGCCCTTCCAAGGCTGCTCTGTGCTCAAAGGACTACTCCAAAGCTCCTCT